GTGGCCTTTGATGTTGGCAGCCTTTCCACAGCAATAAGAAGTATAAATGGAGTTCATGGATGGGAGGTTGGCTTTTGTGATGGTCTGGGCTGTGCACACAACTTTCTGTAGTTTCTTACTTTCTATAGTTTCTTACCTTCTGTAGTTTCTGACTAAGCCGTTATGCACCCAGATAGAATGCTTTCAATGGTGTGTCAGTGAAAGTTGGTGAGGGTCCTTACAGATATGTTGAATTTCCTGAGCTGTCTGAGGAAGAAGAGGCATTAATTTGCCTTCTTGACTGTCGCATCTAAGTGGGAGGTCCAGAACAGATTGTTGGTTATCGTAACTCCCAGGAACTTGACGCTCTTGACCCTCTCCATCTCAGTTCTGTTGATGTAGATTAGAGACATGTCCTCCTCCTTTCTTCCTGAAGTCAATGATCAAGTCTTTTGTTTTGTTGACATTGACAGAGAGAATGTTTAAAGAAGGCAAGATTTTTACAGAGGGTCGTAAGTAGAGGCAGACACAAGAGCAGTGTTTAAGAGGCATCTTGACTGACATATGAATTGGCAGGGAATAGAGGGATACAAACTGTGTAGAGGTAAAAGGTTTTTTCTTTAGAAAGGCTTAATGTGACAGTGCAGTCTTGGTGGGCCGAAGGGCCTGTTCCTGTGCTATACCGATCTTTGTTCTATTTCATACACAGTGCAACCAGGAAACTACAGTCTTTCTGGTCTTATTGGTTTTGGTGCAGATTTTTGACTGCATTCTCAGGATTTCTGCATTGCAAGAAACAGCAACAATTATTGCCCTTGACAGCATGGTGTTTTGTGATGTTCCTGAACTGCTGCAGCAATGTACTTTGATGCTGCTACAGTGCACCAGGCAGGGAGTTCCAGAACTTAGACCCAACAATAATGAGGAAATAGTGTGTATACTTTGAAACAAGGATGGTTTGTGACTGGGAAGGGCATGTGAACAAGAATCATAGAGTCCCTACAGTGTGGAAAGAGGCCATTCGGCCCAACAAGTCCACACTATGCCTCCGAAGAGCATCCCACCCAGACCCATTCCCCTACCCCGGCATTTCCCATGTCTAACCCATCTAACCTAAACATCCCTGAACACTACGGGCAATTTAGCATGGCCAATCCACCTAGCTGTATATTTTCGGACTGTGGAGGGAAACTGGAGCACCCAGAGGAAACCCAAGCACACACGGGGAGAATGTGAAAACTCCACACTGACAGTTGCCCGAGGGTGGAATCGTACCCGAATCCCTGGCGCTGTGAGGCAGCAGTGCTAACCACTGTGCCACCATGCTGCCCTGTTGTGGTATTGCCATATATTTCCATGTGCTTACTTATTCACAGTGGCAGAAGTCACAGGTTCAGATACCATTGAAGAAGTTGTGAGTTGATGCAGTCCAATCTAAGACAACACATCAAGCAAAGGCAGCCACATAGAAAGCTAAAATGAAAATTCATTCAGTACAGCTCCAGGAAGGGTGACCAGACCCAAAACGTTAACTCTGATTTTTTCACAGATGCTGCCAGACCTGCTGAGGTTTACCAGCAACTTCTGTTTTTGTTCCTGATTTACAGCATCTGCAGTTCTTTTGGTTTTTATTTACCCTGTTCAGTGCCCTGCCTCACCATTGCCACTTGCTGCAGGAAGTTCTGTTTCACTCAGCAGTTCTAGAAGTGTCTGTGGAAATAGAAACATAGTTAACTTTTTGAAGCCAATAGTTGTTCTTCGGAACTAAAGTTTTCCTTAGGCCCACTCTGATCCCCTGACCCAACTGCCATGTGGGGACTGACCATTTCCAGCTTGTGTCCAGGACTCAGGAAGCCCACAAGTTCACGTTAGGAAAAAGTGCCAGGAGAGTATGATCCAGGGCAGGGGGGAGGTGACTGAGAGGGAACACTAGGGGAATCAGTTGGAGGTGAGATAGGGTGGCCCAGGGTGGATGATTGAGTTGGGGACCACCAGGAGGAGAGAATTAAGGAAGGGGGATAGAATTGTAGCAACAACCTCGTTATCTTTTTGGAGTCAGAAGGAACACAAAATCTTTGAGTAACCTCCAGTTGTTCCTGTTAGGGACGCAGGAAAACAGGCACCAACCAATTAGCAGCAGCTTGATACACACCCTCCAGGACTTGGCTGTGATAAACTGGTCAGTTGTGTTACGCATGTATTATTCCATAAAATGGTCATGTTAAATTTACATGATATTTTAGCTCTTTGTTCTGATATGGGCATTGCCTTTCCTTAATTGTCCTTGAACTGTGTGACATGCAAGGCCATTTCAGAGGACAGTTGAGTCAACCACATTGCAGTGAAGGATATTAGTGAATCAGATTTATTTTTAAGAAAAAAACAAAGATAGTTTTCAAGGTTTCCATGACTGAGACTAGCTTTCAATTCATAGATTTTTATTCACTGAATGTAATTTTCATTGACTGCTGTGGTGTGACTTGAAGCCAAGTCCCTAGAGCATTGACCTGGGCCTCTGTGACATTGCCTCTGCATCACTGCCTCCTCTTCTAGAGCCCTAGCTGTCTCCTGTTGGAACCAGGATGATGTAGTGACTGTATCACTTCTGACAACCAAAGCCTTCCCCTGCAATAAGCAATCAGTACTTATTAATACAAACCTCATTTATTACCTTCATATTGGTTAAATGACCTGTCACGTCCTTGAGACGTATCTTGCTGTGTAAGTGCAGCTGACATTCTTTTGTTCCCACAGTGGAACTGAAATTATACATAATGCTCAGCAGCAGAATACAGCATATTCAATGGTTTCATGAATTATGAAGAAAGGGAATTAAACTTGCCATCTGAGCATAAGGAAAATTGAGTTCTGAGGAAGGGTCACCGGACCCAAAACGTTAACTCTGTTTTCTCCTCCACAGATGCTGCCAGACCTGCTGAGCTTTTCCAGCAACTTTGTTTTTGTTCCTGATTTACAGCATCCGCAGTTCTTTTAGTTTTTATTAAGGAAAATTGCAGCTGACTCTCGGATTGTGTGCCCAGTAGCGAAGACAAAAAGCACCTGCGCGAGTGAAGCCCCAGGCATCAGGTGGGCAGGAAAAAAAATGAGGGGTAGGGGGACACAGAAGCCACACCCTCAGCATAAGGTCTACTGAAGACAAAGCTACCTTAGGATGACTGAGAATCAGTGCAGTCACAGACTTATTTGGAACATAGAAACATAATTCAGGACCCTCTTTCGTAAAGACCTCAAACCTTGAAATATACCACACCCTGTTATAAGCAGTCAAAGTCACTGTGGCTTTGGAAATCCTTTGCTTCCAACTCTTTCCAATGATCAACTGCGAACTTTTGTGGTAACTGAAAAATGCTAGCAGCATACAGCATCTTACAGGTCACTGGGCCTCTTTTAACACTACCAGGCAGCTTCATGCTGTCCTGAAAAGTTGTTGCAAGAAATGTTTCTGTGAGCCTTCAATTCCACTTACAGCACTCGGATGGCAGTCATAGTATTGGCTACAGTGGTATGTTCAAATTAGACTTGAACTTACTTTGGCCTGCTCCCATTGCTACCGCAGCACAGAGTCAACTGAATTAACTGGTCATTGCATTCCTGAGTTATGAAACATTTATGCAGATTTGGGAGCCAAGAATAGTCCAAATTACATTTCCACTCCACAGTGAAAATTCAGCTGTGAAGTCATTGAGTCAAAGTTATGGTGGGACCCTTTGGTCCAACTGTAATCCCAAACTAAACTAATCTCACCGACCTGATTTTGGCCCATTTGGCCTCCAAACATTTCCTATTCATGTATTTATCTAAATGCCTTTCAAATGTTGTAACTGTACCTACATCCCACCACTTCCTGTGGAACTTCATTCCAGGCAGGAACCACTCCCTGTTTAAAAAAAATGTACCTCGTGTCTTTTTAAAATCTTTCTCCTCTCACCTTAAAAATATGCCCCTTAGTCTTGAAATTGCCCAACCTAGGAAAAAGAAACCTTCCATTCGCTTTATCCATACCCCTCATGATTTTGGAAACCTCTATAAGGTCTCCCTCAACCTCCTATGCTCCAGTGAAAAAAGCCCCAGCCTATCCAGCCTCTCTTTATAACTCAACCCTCCTTTCCCAGCAACATCGTGGTAAATCTCTTTTGAACCCCCTCCAAGTTAACAATATCCTTCCTATATTAGAAAGGCCAGAGGAGAGAACGCTGTGCCAGGCAGGCAGCATCACTGGGAGGAGTGGGTGAGGAGAGGACCCTGTGAGCTTGGAGTGTTATTCTGACCAATTACTACAGTTTTTAAATTTATTTACCTCAACATAAATATACTTGTTATCAATCAAATGGCCACATGAAATATCAACAGTTGATTCAATTTTGAGTGAATTTCTCCTCAAATACCGTGATCTACTGCAATGTCCGAGGAGTCAGTTGAGGGTATGAGTGAGAAGGCTCTTTGCCAGTAAGTTTTATTTAAGGCAAAGTTGCATCATTATTTAACTGGTCTGTGCTGTAAACAAAGTATAATAATGATGTGTATATCCCTACATTGCGTTTCTATTACTTAGTGTGTGTTTTTACTTTGATTATGAGAACCTCTTGCTTACCCAGAATAGTTGATCAGCCAGCACACTCCTGGTCCCATAGGTGATGGTTAATAAGACGTTTATTGCACTACCGTAAAGACAAAAGATGGGACCAAGACTGGGGGACCCTGGATGTCAACGGACGTAGAGGTTAGGATTAAGAATAAAAGTGAAACTTATGGCAGATACCAAGGGCTTAATTCAGTAAAAACTCCAAGTTAGAACCTTCCTGTTGTATGTGACTCAGTCTCTTCTTCTTTCTAACTGCAAAATAACATTTGTAGTGTTCTCAAATATTTCAGAACAGCTCCATCATTTGTACTTTCAAATGTTTTCTAAAAATTCATGGGTTTCGATGTTATTAAGTGCTTATATTAATAGTTTTGTTGTGTTTTATTCAGGTTTCCACTTTCTAAGGATCATTCTGTGTAATGTGAATGTAACAACGAAGTTGAAGATATAGAAAACCATCAGAGAAGATCATGGACTTTGTTATGAAACAGGCTCTGGGAGGTAAGGCTGACCATTGGGGAGAAGCAGGGATCAGCTTGGAAACTGGTCACTACCCACACCTTTGCTAGAAATCCATGTATAGCAGGGAAAGAAGGACACCAACCATAGAATGGAACTGGTCATGTGATTAGCAGTAAACTGAGAAAGAATCAAAAGCAAAAGACTAAAAAATAAAGAATAAAGAACAAATTTATAAAGTACAAAGATTTAATAAATTATATTTTTAAAAAACATCAGCTTTATTAACAATTTGAAGACAAAGCAATTGACATAAAAGTGCTGTAGAAAATTATTAAGAATAATGTTTAAACATGAACAAATGAATACAAAAAAAAATGAATCAAATGGACTCAAAAAATTGCCAGAGTTAATTCCCCCCAGTCTTATTTATTTGAGGTAAGCTATGCCAATCCATGAAGTGATAGCCTGCTAATTTGATGAGTTTAAGGTATGTTATAACTGAGATAGGAGGAGGGCAGTGTGCTTCTTTAGTCCCACTGCTCTAAGGGGCACAACATCAGTCTTAAAAATGTTTTATCCAAGTCCCAATTTGGCCAATCGTACGCTTTCTCTATGTTATACTTAGAATGAAAGGATATCAACCAGGTTTCTTCAATAAACACAAAATTATGAATTTATTATAAAGCAAAACCCATATGGTAAGAATTGTTTAATACGTACAATTTGTAAAATGAAAATATAAATGTTTACCCAAACAAACACAAACATGCACACAAATACACACACTCATACTTTAGGGAAAGAGGAAGAAACATATTTTCCTCTTTAAGAAGAAAAACAAACACTTCCTGGCCAAGGATAGTTACTTTTACAACAAAAAAAGGGTAGAGTATAGCATTTTATGAAATGTGTCAATTTCGTGATCTTGCTCATGGAGTCGTCACTAATCGTGCACTGCTGTCTATGGGGTCTTGGTAGACACAACTTGCTCAGGAAATACAAATGGAGAAGTTATTTCTGTTGCTCTCTTCCAAAGAACAATCAGATTTCAAGCTAATTTACTGCTAAGATGCTTCAGGAACAGGAGATATTAGCTAGGCATTTTGTTCTTAGCAGGCTTTCCTCCCCAACTAATTCCAAATCAGAACACTCAAACCCTCAACAACTTTTTAAATAGGACAATATAAAACCCAATTGCAAAAGAACCAGGTGTTTTACCTGAAGTAAATTCAAGCAACCAAGATCGGCAATTATACCAGGTCATATGATTTCAAAGAAACCTTGAAAAACTACTAACGTCTTTTCATTGATTTTTTTTTAGAAAAAATCTACCCAGGTACCTCTACAATTTTTCAAAGTCAATTCATCAAAACACAGACTCTGGAAGGGACACTCCTCAGTGTTGTGCAGCCTTGTTTATGTATGTTCACTAGTACATAAGGGGATTGTATTGAGGCCCCCGTGATGGCAGTTGATTGTACAGTGGCCCTGGCCTGTCCTAAACCTATTTAACAAGGGCCACTCTCGCCATGTTGTTCAAAGCCTGCCATTCAACCGATGGAATTTGTCACAAGGAACGTGTTAGTAATTTCCCATGTTTCCCATTCCTTGATCCAAATGATCTCAGTAGTTCTTTCTCAAGAAGGAGGATCCATATGGGGCACTGAGCTGGAAGGCAGGCTGCAGGCTGTCATCATGCAAGAGCTAAGTGAGGAGGGCAACACAGATGGTTTTCATCAGTTACTGGATATACGGGGGAGTGATGTTTCAAGGGAGGGAAGTTGAGCAGAGGACTCCAGTTATGATATGCTTTATTGCATTCAGCTGAATGTCAATATGATCTGCGTGTGATCACCTTTCTCCAGACACATGCACAATACTCTGCAAGGGGAACAATAGGGCAAATACTGAGGTCTGGAGTGTCGTGGAAGCAAGACCCCACATAAACCCAACGAACTGATCCATAGATTGTTTCTGGTTTTGACTTTTGCTGCGGTTTTCTTCACTGTTCCTGGAAGGACACTACCAGTCATTTTGGACTGGGCTCTTATCAAATATTTATGTAATTTTGTTGGCACTAGAATTACACATTGGATCCTCTAAAATTAACATTCAATGTGAGATGCTGTGTACTGCAGTAGTCTGTTAACTTTGTAACATTGTTTGAAGGATCTGATCCAGGATGCAGAAGAATGGAGTTTGATTGATGCAACAGATATCATCAGCATAGATGGCTTTCAGGAGGAGTCCAGTGTAACACTGGCAGCTGTGGGGTTGGGTCACACTGTGCCTGTCTTCAGGTTCTTTTGGAAGCATTTTTGATGTAGCTGGTGGTGCCAGAATGTGATCATCTGTTTGTGTCCTTATGGAAACCAACTTGGTCAAATTAAAGATGGTCTTTACTTCTGGAGGAATGTGCTGTGGGATAAGATGCTAGAGATTGTGAAGTACTCAGGAAGTAGCGAAATCAGAGCTAGCTGCCAGTGTGAGATCTTTTCCAGGTTTTGGAATTACAATGAAATGCCATCTGTCACATATTTAGGAGTGAATGTGAGCTGATGCTTCATATGTTTTTTATTCATTCATGCAATGTGGGCATCACTGGCTGGGTCATCACGAGTAGCCATTGCGAAGGTGATGGTGAGTTTCCTTCTTGAACCACTGCAGTCCATGTGCTGTAAGTAGACCCACAATGCCACGAGGGGAGAATACCTGAATTTTGATTGCACAACAGTAAAGGAATGGTGAAAGATTTCCAAGTCAGGATGGTGACTGTTTTGGAGGGAAACTTGCAGGGGGTGGTGTTCACATGTATCTGCTGTCCTCGTCCTTCTAAATGGGATTGGTCATGGCTTGGAAGGTGCTGTCTAAGAATTTTTGGTGAATTTCTGCGGTGCATCTTGTAGACGGTACACACCGCAGCTACTCAGCCTCCTTGGTGATCAAACGGGTTCCTTTATTCTGGATGGTGTCAAGCTTCTTGAGTGTCGGTGGGGCTGCATTCATCCAGGCAAGTGGGGAGCATTCCATTACATTACTTGTGCCTTGTAGGTGGTGAACAGGCTTTAGGAAGTCAAGAGATGTGTTACTCACTGCAGTGTCCTAGACCCTGACCTGCTCTTTTAGCCATTGTATTTATATGGCAAGCTCAGTTTAGTTTCTGGTCAATGGCAACCCCCGGGATGTTGAAATTGGGAGATTCAGTGATGGTTACACAATTGAATGTCAAGGGGAGATGGTCAGATTGCAGATGTTATTGCAGATGGTTATTGCCTGACATTTGAGTGATGTAACAATTACTTGCCACTTTTCAGCCCAAGCCTGAATATTGTCCAGATCTTGTTGTCATAGAATCATAGAGTCATACAGCACAGAAACAGACCCTTCAGACCAACTCATCCACACTCACCAGACATTCCAATCTGACCTAGTCCCATTTGCCAGCATTTGGCCCATCTCTCTCTAAAACCCTTCCTATTCATATACCCATCCAGGTGCCTTTTAAATGTTGTAATTGTACCAGCCTCCACCTATTCCTTTGCCAGCTCCTTCCATATGTGCACCACTCTCTGCATGAAAAAGTTACCACTCAGGTCCTTTGTAGATTTTTCCCCTCTCACCTTAAACCCTCTAGTTTTGGATTCCCCCACCCTTGGAAAAAGACCTTGGCTATTCACCCTATCTGTTTCCCTCAGGATTTTATAAATCTCTATAAGGTCACCTCTCAGCTTCTGACACTCCAGGGAAAATAGCCCCAGTCTATGCAGCCTCTCACTATAACTCAAAACCCAGCAACATCCTTCTTCTGCGCTTCTCTGCACTTTCTAGATTTAACAACATCCTTCCTATAGACGGGTGACTAGAATTGTACACAGTATTCCAAAAGTGGCCTAATCAATGTCCTGCATAGCTGCAATATGACCTCCCAACTCCTGTACTCAATGTTCTGACCAGTGAAGGTGAGCGTGCCAAACACCTTCTTCACCGCCCTGTCGACCTGCCACCCCACTTTCAAGGAACTATGCATCTGCACTCCTAGGCCTTTTTATTTGGCAACACTCCTCAGGGCCCCACCATTAACTGTATAAGTCCTGTCCTGGTTTGCCTCACCAAAATGCAACATCCCACACTTATCTAAATTGAACTCCATCTGCCACTCCTCGGCCCATTGGCCCATCTGATCGAGGTCCCCTTGTACTCTGAGACAGCCTTCATCACTGTCCACTATACCACCAATTTCAGTGTCATCTGCAAACTTACCGACCATAACCCCCATATTCACATCAAAATTATTTGCATAAATGACACAAAATGCATTGTAAGTGTAATAAGTGAGATGGTGGGAGTGATAAGAATATGAGTTTTAAATGATGTTGTGTAAGTGTTTTTATTCATTTGCAGGAAATGGGCACTGCTGGCTAGACCAGCATTTATTGCCCTTTTTTTTAAATTCGTTCACAGGATGTGGACATCTCTGGATGGACCAGCATTTACTGCAGTTAAGATTTAACCACATTGCTGTGGATCTGGAGTCACATGTAGGCAGTTTCCCTCCCTAAAGGACATTAGTGAACAAGGTGGTTTTTCCCAATAATTAATAAAGAATACATAGTTATCATTAGATTCTTAATTCCAGATCTTTATTGAAATCAAATTCCACCGTCTGCCATTGTAGGATTCAAACTTTGATAACATGTTTTGTAATGTGCGTGTGTGTGTATTGAGGAGATGTGATAAGAGCAGCGAGGAATGTTCTGTGTATAATAGTGAGCCTGATTTGAGTAACAAAGGGTTGTTTGTACCAAAGCATTGTTACTTCTGCTCCCTATTGAAATCATAGTCCTTATCATTTTGAGATAACAAAGTGTAGAGCTGGATGAACACAGCAGGCCAAGGAGCATCAGAGGAGCAGGAAAGCTGACGTTTCGGGTCGAGACCCTTCTTCAGAAAGGGGGGAGGGGAAGGGGATTCTGAAATAAATAGGGAGAGAGGGGGAGGCGGATAGAAGATGGATAAAGGAGAAGATAGGTGGAGAGGAG